TATATGTGTGTGTGTGTGTGTGTGTGTGTAGTTATGTTAAGACAAATGCAATTTGAAATTAAACAATCAAATTGTAAATTTTGATCACATTGTAAAACTTTATATTAGTGAACAATAATGTATTGTGGATACGAAATTCATAATGAAGAATAACCTGATCAAATTTTTGTAAGAAATAATTACCCAAATCAAAATATTTGGTAACTAGGATTTAACCCGCGGTACACCGCGGAACGATATTTATATTTTAAAAGTTTCATATTTTTAGAAATTACGATATGATGGTTTGTTCGAAATGCTATGTAAATATTATAAATGCTTTTATCATAGTGATATAGTCATATAGTCGTATAGAGCTTGATTAGTTTTAACCGAGTAATTTTATGGTCATACACGCAAAAGTTTGTACATTGCAGGGCAAATATTTTTCTCCTTTTTTTTCTTTTTAAATGTACGTTAGTTTTTTAATCGATACTGTTGGAATTTTTTTAATAACTATTAACATTGTATATTACCAATCTAAATAATTATTAACATTGTATAAATTTTTTTTTGGGGTTAAATTAGCTACAAACTTTAAAGGAAAAAATGTAAAAAAAATCCCCAATTTTCAAATTGTAGACGAGAAAAGTATGAACATTCAAAATGTCATTTAACATTGTATCATATATATTATGGATTGTATTGTTTTGAAATTGTGGACGATTAACCAATTTTAAGATTTGATACAGTAACTTCAGTATGATCTAATTGTTGGCTGCTATTTTGGACAGCCAAATGTTGTAAGAGCTACTTAACCTATTGATTGTCCCATATAGGGTTGTCAATTGTGTATGGAACAAAATTCAGGCAAGGTTTGGGCTGTTACGTACCCCAACTCTTTGTTTATCAACTCATTATATATATAAAGCATCAGGATTTCACGATTTTGTATGTATAATGTTTTGCTTTCTAGGTGACACTTTGTGAACAAAACAAATAATAGCATAAGGCTATCAAGCAATCTTGATAAAGATTAGAAACGAACTCATATAAATATATAATTTTGTGTACATAGTTTTCTGTACTTATCGATGAAATAACTTACAGAATTTGAAATAATAAAATTTGTGTATCAAGCTATTAATAATACACAAATAAAGATTGTATCAAGCTAATAATTTGTGTATCAAGCTATTAATAATAAAATTTGAAATAAAGATTGTAGTGTGCTTGGTAATATATATTACGATCTGACTTGTTCTCCTTTTCAAGATTCACTTTACAATAAGTCACCTACAACTTTTATAGAAAATAAGACATGTTTTAATTCGACATGTAAACGGGTTCATAACACATTATTTTTTACATATGCAAGGTACACCATAGTCTCTCATCACTATAAATAGATCAAAAGTTAGTTAACTGATCCATATAATTTGATATCAACATATATATAGGTAGTAGTACAAAAATATCACCTCTTATCTCTCAATTTAAATCTAAGCTTATAAGTTGGTATGTTGTTAACTTCAAGCATTTTCATCTCCCCAATGTCAATAGTTTGACCAACCACATCTATAAACAATTAACAAAGTAAAGAACGTGGATAGAAACATATATAAAAAGAAATATTAAAAACGTGAAGGATGTTCATGTAGTAAACCTAAGACAGAAACGAAGCTACCAAAGCAACCATGGCGTTAATTAAGATTTTGTGTGTATGGGTTTTGGTTTTGGTGTTATGAGCTGCGGGAAAAGAGTAGTATTTATAGAGTGTCAATGAGAAGATATGGTTTATGAGATAAGTTTGGTGAGGTAGTTGTTAATATCTTTAGAGATCTCACATTTTCGGAAGGTGTGCGTAGGATTATGCGAAGATTTTTATGGAATATGCTAGTAACATTTCGATCATTTCCAAATGTTTATGTGACTTAAGGTTATGACATATTAATAAACGTGATATGTAGGTAAGATATTCTTGTTTGTTTCTATTACCGAATTATAATGAATGTCGTTTTGTTTGTTGGAAAAGAAATCGGAGCACATAATTTGTAAAAAGAAACTCGTAATTAATTCAAAAAATATATGGAGAATGCCCAAAAATAATTTGGAAACTAATATTAGAAGATTTATTAAACTTTTATAAATTAAATATTAAATGGCAATGGTATTTCCTTGTAAATAAGTTCTCCATTTAAGGGGTTTTCATAAGTGTCTTTAAAAATGTTAATATAGATACAACATATCAAATCCAAACCAAATTTAATCAAACAACATTTAGAAGTCTCTTAGGCAAGTAAATGTGTTATAATTAGACTCCTCCTTAGTGGTGAAAAATATGAGCTTTGATTTACGGTTTGAAAGGGTTTGTTATTTTATTTATAAAGATGTCAGAGTAAGAAAAATTATTGCTTAATCTAACAACTTTCTTTACAAAAAAATCACAAAAAAAAACAAAAAAAAAAACTAAAAGAGTTATTCATTCAACAAAGGGTTACTCATGTGTTTAGGGAAGCTAACCGTCTTGCAGACGGGTTAGCGAACTATGCGTTTTCTTTACCTCTTGGTTTTCTTGTTTTAGATGTTTGTCCCGATATTTGTGATTCGGTGCGACTTGATGATGTAAACGGAATAGCTACTTCGCGGACGGTCCGCATGTAATTTATTTTTTCTTCTTGTTGAATAAAATGGGAGACCAAGGTCTCCCATCGATTACCAAAAAAAAAGTATCAAATAAACAAATTTAAATTGATTTCCTTTATCGACTATGTATTTTATCATAATAGATTGGGTTGTTGAATGAAGATGTCGATAAGGCTAATCTCGATTTCAAATACTAAGTTAGTCAATTAAAAGTTTGGATTTTTGATATTTTCATATATGATCGTTTAAATTTGTTCGATTTTCACGAAATAATAGACTTTCGTGATATCGACCAAAAAAAAAAAAAAAAAAACTTTCATGATGACGAATTTGATCATCACTCACCTCCAACTAGATTCTTACTATTCTATTGCAGTTTAGTAATAATATGTTTTTTTGTTTATGCAACAAAGAGATGCAACACGAAATTAAATATCAGTACTTAATTTAACTAATTTAAATTACTCTTGACAATACCTAAGAAAAAGAGAACTTCCCAACTTTTTTTTTTTGTTAGAGCAACTTACAAACTGTTTATCAAGTGAATAAACATGTTTATCAGCACTTGTTGCAATTTTGCTGGGGTTATTTTTCATCGTGAACAAATTTTATATTTCCAGTTGTTAATATTTGGGCCTTTATTGGACACGTTTCTTGAATATTTTAGCCGACGCCCATTATAGATATAAGATATAGACCCATAGCTACGTTAATCAATAAAATTGTACGGAATAATATAGTTCGAAAATATGTATATCATCACATCATTGGGTTACAGCTAGCTAGCTGGGGAATGAATCAAATTAACGTAATGTACGGAAGATTAAAAACTTATGGAAGCTTTGTTTTTTGTGGTTTTCAAATTTCAATATGTCAATTTAGTATAGGAATTAAGTAAATACACAATACTCTAATATGAAAAATAAGGCCAAAGTTTGGGATATCGGAATTATTAGAGTACAATTAAAGTAAATGTCCGTTGCAATGCGACATTTGCGTGTTATCACATTCATGCGCACTTGTATTTTCATGTAATCAAATCTTATACAGTGTATATTCTTATTATGCAAAACATTTGCAAATAATCAAATACTTAGTTTAGCCCTCTTTTTTTGATTAGTTTGTTTCGCGTATATGGAATTTTACCACTTGTTATCTTGTGATTATATAGAAAAGGATACAAAAACAAATAAACACCTTTTTTTTATGTCAACAACCAAAACTAAATATATAACTAATGATCATTCTTAATTATATTAAAAAAGGAAAATAAAATGGTCATTCTTATAATGGACTAAGAGACAAATAAAAGAATAGCAAAATTGTAGTATTCTCCCTACATGGAATAGATATATAACTTCCCAATTATTATAGCCAATGCCTAATGGTCATTAATTATCTTGATATTTGATAGCTACATATACCTTAAATATATATATACAAAAATCTTGTTCTTAGAAAGCAAAAAGAAACAAATAGGATAAGTCATATAAAGTATTCTGAAAGAAAAACTCATAGTTCTTTATTTCGAATTTTCGATAATATATATTTTTTGATAAAAAATTTCTTATATTATACAGAAAAAAACTACAATCAAACAACTAAAAATATTTGACAAACCATACGAATATGAATGCTAACTATTATACTTACACATATTCACATATGTATTGTGAACATATATAACTTTCTTTGAATATATATTTATTGGACAAAACCGTAGAAAATAAAAAGCGAATATAATGTTATATCGCAAAGTCATGATCAAGTCAACTACCACCGTGCATTATGGCCACGAATGTTACGATATTCAAAACTTCGGACTACTCAACCTTATTTATACACCTCTAATTAATTTTGTCTACTTAATTAATTAAAGTTGCATAAAAGTTACATTTGAGCATTTCTTGGCTATTTCGAACCCGTATATCGATACAATATTTACTTATGTAACGAATATAAATATAGAAACCAAAAGATGTAAAGTTATAAAAATGTGCCCAACCTCCAATAAAATTAGGTCATACCAAATACAATGTAATAAATTCAAAACTTTGACTATTTGGGCTATTTTAATGGTACCACTCCACCTCCTAGTCTTCCTTGAACGTAAAGTAACCTTTTTGACTCTCTTCTTTCCCTTCGTTTCATACATTTTTTTCACAAACCCTATACATATCATAAAATATATATGCCAAATATGTGAATAATGATCCATATCATAAGTACATTTATTACAATTATTTTGTACTTTATTCTTCAAAACTTATAGTATAAAACTCATCTCAAGATTTATTTTTTCTTGGAGATTAGCATTAAAGAAATACACTCTTTTTAATCATAAAAATTCTCATATCTTTTCCTCTAACCATCTCTCTTATCTCTCTCTGTCTCCATGACCTCTATTGATTTTTCATCTTCATCAAAATCTTCTCTACATGGCCATGAAGAAACAACCTAAGCCGTGTAGTTTCCTCTTCCACGTCTCTCTATTCTCTGCGTTGCTCGTTTTTCTTCTTATTTCTTTTGCTTTGACGGCTTCTTACAAGCGTAAATCAGGCATTGTTAATGGTCTCGGGTGCCATAAGAGGATTCTCGCAAGTAATTTTGATTTTACACCGTTTCTCAAGAACAAGAACAGAGATCGCACCCAACAGCAACGTCAAAGTCAAAACCTGGCCGGAACAGTAACCGGTTCATGGTACAACGATGAGGAACGGATCGTACCTAGCGGTCCAAACCCTTTGCATCACTAGCTAGCTAAAAGGTTTGACTTGTTTCCATAGATTTTTGTTGCTTTTTTTTTTGGGTTAATATAGTATATTAATGTTATGACAAAATATATAAGAGTACAAGACCATGGATCATGAAGTGTATGAAAATTGATGTAACCATCATATTTGTTTATGGTTTCTTGATTTGAAGGGGTTCATTAATAGCTTCATCAGTTCTTGTATATTATATAGTTATCGATCTCTCTATTAGACTATATATATACACTACTTGTTAAGATGTTCACTGAACATAATTAATATATGTGATTTAGTTCTATTAATGTTGAGAAAACGTACAACATTGTTCATGTTGAGATAAAGTACGTTGAGTTAATTTGTTGTTTTGATTATTATTTTATATTTTCTGTGAAAGTGTCATATTCAGATTAAATGTTTGAGTTAAATGTAGTGTGTTTGAGTTATTAAACAACACATACACACACACACACAATGCATTTTCACTACAAAAAAAAAAATATATGTTTTAATCTATTTTGTTATAAAATTTAGATTGGCTTACTGATCATGAAAATATTACTTTCCGATATCATGTAAGAAAGAATAAATCATCGTGGACATTATAAACTATGATATATCGTATACATTATAAACTATGATTTTCGGTGTTACTCCTATTGTATAATTTGAGTCAATCTCTATATACATTAACGAGCATAATAAATACAGAAGAAGAAAAAAAACAAGACAACAATACATATATATATAATCTTTTTTATGCATACTCTTCTGTGGGTTTTTGCTATTCTTTTTGTCTAGGAAAAGATATTCAGAAACTTTCTTTCAAAAATAACATAGTTGGTATTGACATTTTTTCATCTGCAACAAAAAAAAATTTATCCCCACACTTGTAAAATTAAATTTGGACCTAATCACTCTTTGCAAATGTCAACAAAAAAAAGGGTGGAGTTTGTTCACTAGTCATTTTATTAAACTATATATAGCAGGCGCCACGAATAAAAGTCGAGTGCGTACGTGTTTTGGTGAATGCATACAACTTTATGGAATCCATATCAGTGCATAAGTGTTGATATGGGGTTCGTTCAGATCAGATCTTGGACTTGGAGAATCCTAATATATATATAAAAAGATCCGCATTTGACATCACACACATTTTCATGTAAGTTTAGTCTCTCTCTTTTTTTTTTTTCAACATGCACTTTTATATTAGTTAGCCAAACCAGAGGAAAACAAACAAAAAAAACTCCTTTGAAGATTACATGCTCCCATGGTTGCATTCTCGTCACTGTTTTCAGAACAATATCATCGTAAACCTGAAAAAAGAAAATATCATTTGTTTCCTTAATCTATTCTTAATTTTAAGAAATATTTTTCTTAAAGTTTTCAAGCTTTTTCTTAAGGTGAGGAGGAGCATCAGAGCATGGGCTCAATTGATTAAAAGATGATTGGCCATCGATATATGACCATTTCCAATAGAGGTCAAATTGAGCCCACACCCACACCATCAATACATTTTACGAATGACCATTAGAGTATAAACTAATCCATCACATATCAGTATATCACCCTAGTTTTGTGTTCTCTTCTTCTAGTACTTGATTCAGTTTTTGCCTCATCTATAAATGAATCATTTGAGCTAAATTTTTTGTTAGGATAGCTTTTGGGGATCTCATAAGGTTACTGACGCGAATAAACTAAATGCAATTTAGAGCACACTAATTAGATGGCTTGCTACGCCGTAAGACCAGTCAATTACCTCCAAAATCTTTAATGGCCTTTCATGTATTATTAAACAAAATATTGTCTTCTACATAATCACATCATCAAATTTGAACAAGCATATTCACTAGCTAGTACAAATCGTTATGTTACGTACTCCAGTCAAATATGTATATTAACCCAAAAAAAAAAAAAATTACTACTTATAATCGCATCAGGTATAGATAAATTCATAGGCATAACCTACTTGTCGTATTGGTTTCCCAATAAACATTAGAGTGTGTCTATAGTTAATTTGGACCTTTTTCTAAGAAGATGATTTTTCTTATTTGGTCATTACAATTATAATTAGAAGTGTCATGTTGTCATAATCCATGGATATTGATTTAATGATGGTAAAAACTAAAACACCAAAAATGTCAAATGAGTGTCGAATCGATAGAGACCGAGTCAGATTTTCGAATAATGAAAGCCAAACTCACAATTGTCAATGCAGGAGGGCCCTGCTCCTCACCACTGATATTCAAAGATCAAGTTGCTTTAAACTCTTAAAGGCCCCATCAACGTACGCCACTCGACCCCAAAATACTTACAAAATGAAAACAAGTGTAAAACTTAATGCTATTAACAACAACAAAATGTCATTTTCTATTGGAATTTTTGGGTACACAAAGGATCTATGACTAGAATTTAGTTTAGCTTTAACCTATTTAAGTCGTTCAAAACTTTAGTCTTTAGAGATGAACAAGTCCAACCAAAATTTAAAAAGGTTCCGTCCACTAAATTTTCAACTACTTTGGTACCAAATTTTAAGAATATGGTTCAACCTATTTTGCAATAACAATCCAGCAATACAGACGATTTTAGTTCTTTTACTTCATTATGAATACGATTTTGTTCATCGCGAAAATCAACCACAAGAAAGAAAAAAAAAAAAAAAAATTTACGTCATACATAATGTGTAAATTACTAATTATCATTAGGCCACAAGTAAGTTGAGCAAATACTATTTGGAAGAAAAAAAATTATAAATGTATTCCTAAATAACATATATTCCATTGAATGAATCGAACATCAGAAATTTGTTTACATGGAAGGTTTTTTCTTTCTCATGACATGGAAGATTAAAATTTGAAATATTGATTCTGTCAATATAATAAATCATTCATGGCCGTCCAAGTGACGTTTACGTTCCTCTTATCTACTATTAGCTTTAATAATTATTATTATTATGCAGTACGTACGTAATCACCAATCATCAATATGTATCGTTGATTCTTGTTTGCTTGGTGATTTCTTTATATTAATCAAATCACCAAACAAAATTTAAAACGCTCAAATTCCCATAACCTTTCAATATTTTTCGTCTTGTTCATTAACTCTCCACCGCATACACATCTACAGATATCAAAATCCTATTGAAATGGACTTACCAATTAGCATGTAATTAGTAATTAGCATCATTACTATTAGTATAGGATTTATAATTTACGTAGACCCAAGTATTAGTAATTAGCATCATTACTATTTTATAAAGGTATTTTAATACACAAAACCAAAGTTCGTTAAGCATATCCCTCGCCACGCTCTTTGAAGTTTCAAGTATTCAACAAAAATAAAGAAAAACGAAAGTTTCAAAATTTTATTAATTACATTCAAGAATTCGTAATGTCCACATATAATGACAATATAATTAAAAAATTCAATAAATAAAAATCAACGCAAAGACGACCGATTCCACCGGTAAACTACCACCATTTTCTTAACTCTCATTAACGAACTTATACTATATAACACAACCTTAACACACACATACATTTCAGACACTAGAGTTATTGAGTTTTGACTTGTTAAACCACAAACTAACTAAGGCTTTTTTTGTTACTTCTTGATATTATTATTTTCCGGTGAAGATATGGACCGATCAACGCCGGATCATGCCTCGTCGTCGTCATCTTCCTCCTCTTCTTCCTCACACAAGCGTCTAAGCGTGAGCTTTCTTGTTTCTATAATGGTTATTTGCGCTAGACATGCAAATCGGCTCTCCAAGAAGCTAAAGCTGAAGCCGAAGAAGCGAACTCGCAGCGGCGGAGACGGTACTGTAGGAGAAAGATTCCGATGGAATCTAACAAGCTCGCCGCTGAGGTCTCCTCGGACTAAAGAGTTGTTCACGGCTTTGAGCAACAAGGCGATGACGATGGTCGGACGGAAAAACATGGCGGCGATGGAGGAGGAGCACGGTCTTTGGCAGAGAGAGATTTTGATGGGAGGCAAATGTGAGCCGTTGGATTTCTCCGGTGTGATTTATTACGACTGCAACGGACGGCTGTTAAACGAGGTTCCTCCGAGATCGCCACGTGGCACTCTGTTACCCGTTTACCCGACAATTTCTTGAGCCGGGTCGCCGTTAAACCCGAGGGGAAACGAATGATTTTGATGCGGCTTCGTTAATGTATGAACGCGAACGTTGTTGATTAGGCAGCGAAACGGAATTATGTAAATATAAGAATGTTATTTGTATACTATATGATATGATAAAATCCATATTATCCCATTAAGTTGTTTTGTCATTTAAATTTCGATAGGTCAAAAGTTTCATCAAAGCCATAATTCATTTTCAAACTATACTAAATTACTAATTGTCTCGATTCAATCTTGGTTTTTCGTATTAGTTTTGACTCGATCCAATTTTATTAACTTTCATTTGACTTAGTTTAGTTTGATTTGGTAGGGGTTAGACTAGTTGTTAAGGAAAAATATAATAATAAACCAGGTTTTTTTTTCTTTTTTGTCCACAACAGGTTTTTTTTTTCTAATAACAAAAATAGTCTCCAAATTTTTCATTTCCATACCAAAAGTTTATACAAAAACCATATATTCCAAATCATTAAAATTGCAGTTATTTATTTAGACCACTATTATTAGTGGTATCTTAAACCATATCTTAACTTAACATATGCTCTTATATAAGAGAGAACACCCATGCAAACCCAAATCACTAAAGGGTTTCTTCTAAGACACAACTAGCAGCATTAGAGCATGTCCAATGGTAGTATAAAGATTTAAAACACTTAAAAACTTTATAAAACTTGTATAAAAGATTTAAAACACTTTAAAACATTATAAAATATTTGTATCAAATCTCGCAGTAGTAGTTATCATATAGAAGTTTTTTATAAACCATATAAAACTTTATAATTTTTCATATTTAAATATTTTTTGTTTTTTTTCTTAAATTCTCTTGTACTGACACGTGTCTCTAAGAAACTATCTCAAAACTTCTTAACTAAGAGATATCTCTTAACTTAATATTGATTTTTGATTTATTTTTTACTTTTTTATTTCTAAGATACAAGTTAAAAAACTTTCATTGGAGATGCTCTTTCATACTTCTGTCTCTAAACCCATAAATTTCAAAGAAGAAGCGAAAACAAAACCAATAAATTTCGCAGAGGACCGCTCCCAAAGGTTATAAATTGTAGCCAAGACCACTTGCGATTCACATTCCATCTACCTCCACTTGTTTCACTTCCACAATATATCACTTATTTGGTCAAGATCGCAACGAAGTATCCCTCTAATCCTCTCTACAAAACTGAGCCCCTTCTTGTGATTTTGTTGGTTATAAACTCTAGCTCACAACCAAAACGCATGTTTTCATTAGCCAGCCACTCTACTAGTGGTACTGTATATATCTTCTCTCCTCCACATTCAATTCAATATTATTTACTTTGAAACTCTCTGTGTTGTCTTCTTGTTCCTTGCTTATGTGTCTTATCACACAGCTTCACCTATTGCACGGTTCTTCATCACCTTTGTGTTTGTTATTTTCTTCAACAGAGTGAAAATTTTCAATTATAATTGAAAAATTATTAAGTTTACCAATCTTGCAAAACAAACCAAAGACGCAAAGGAAAAGGTATTGGTCGTTCAAACCAAAACCACCAACACAAAGTAACACCAAAAACATCCAATGGAGATAAGTACAAACCCAAATCACCAAGAGTTTCTTCTCTGACTCAAAGTAACTTTCTTAAGAAGACAAAAAAACCGAAACGAGAAAAAACAAGTAAACTCCAATGTTGTAGAAACGCCATGAACGCTATCAAAGGTGAGTTGTAGCCATGACCAGCTTAATTTCCACTTGTTTCTTCATTCTTCACCTGTTTTTAATACACACCAAATCAGAGAGTAAGAAAGGAATTCCAAAAAAAAAAAACACATACAGCTTTATTTAAGAGATCCTTAACCTTTGGATATAGATTATTCTTTGATTACTTTCGAACTATTTTCTTCTTCGCGGTGACCCCGAGAGCCCGCGCAGGCTGGTTCGGGCTTGGAGCTGGTGGTCCATCTTCCCGAACCGGCAAGGGTGAGGATTTGGTTAATGGTTAATCAGAACCATCTTCATTATCATCAATAACCTCTCCATCCTCAGGATCAAAGGCACTCATGTCAAGCTGGTAACGAAGTATAGCTCCAATCCCTCCATACCCTTTGCAAAACTTAGTCCCTTCTTCTGATTGGTTGGTCACAAACTCCAGTGCACAACCAAAACTCGTGTATTCATTAGCCAGCCACTCCAGTAAAGACATATTCTCCTCCACATCCAGTTTGGTATTGCCTACTTTGAAATTCTCTGTCTTGCCTTCTTGTTCCTTTTTCAGGAATCTTATCACAGTTTCACCGGTAGTACTGTTCCTCATCACATATCTGTTGATATCAAGATTCTCCCATACAATAAGTGTCTCGACAGCACCCGAATCCAAAGCGTTCAACGTATCATCCAAGCCAACCACATACTTCCCAGTGTCCTGTTCTATCTCCGTTAAGTACTTCCCTATCAAACGCTTCTCTTGAATGAACTTCACATTGGCCAAGACTTCAGATGACAGCTCAATAGCATCATTGAAACCACGTTCTCCTCCATGTGATACACCCACCACATTCATTATCTTTGCCATAAGCCTGGGGTCTAACATATCTGAGTGAGTCAACTCAGTCTTGAGATCTCCTAAACCCGCGATTATAAGACCAGACACATTAGGCTGACTTGTTGAAGGACATATGTAAAGCCGTGTGGCGTGCTCAGCAGTTTTCCTCAAGTAATTGCGACGCTTCTCTGTCCGAAGACGAGCAAAACGAAGAGCTGACTGTCCTCCTCTTCCATGTTTATTCGGAAGCTCAACAGAGAACTTATAAAGCACCTCACGTGTGTTACCGCTAAGAGTTCCAAAGAGAGTGCCGTTTCCATCCATGACAATAAAACCATACTTCTCATCACACTCCAGCAACTCACTCAAAGCTTCAGTGTGAAACTTATTGTCACAGAGGTAGAGAGTATTGTTTATCGGTTTGAATGGCTCAAAGTCATAAGCAACCTTCTTCTCCTTGCCTTCTTCGTTGACAATGGTGCCGGTATAGAGCACGAGACCATTGGGAGGGACCTTGCTGTGAAGCTTCAGCCTTTGTTGCGCAGAAGTTATAGCGCTCAAAACAGATTGGCGATTAACTCTGCTCTTGATGTTTGATGCGGTTCCGTATTCATCACTCAACATCTTGCTAACACGAGAGACCTGACCACGGGGAGGTATGATGAGTGAGATCATGCTAGTTCCGTTTCCCCTAGCAACTTCAAGGGATTTGACCAGCTTCTTCATCTTCCATATCACAATGTTCTTGTCGTCGTCTTTATGATTGTCTCCCATTGTTAACCTGCAACAACAAGGGAACACAATACAAAGGATAGTTAATAACGAAAAATCTTGTACAATTCAACGAACTGAATAAGGGGAATAGAAGTAACCACCAATCAAGTTATCAAATTAAAAGCCCTAATTAAGCCCTAGTAAAGTTGGTCAATGTTCTCAATACTTGGAAATAGAATAAGTTATCTTTTGGCCTAATTCAAACATATGATCCAAATCAGTAAACCCTAAAAAGAAGTTAAACGTTTCAAGATGATCGGAACAGAGTAAATTCTGATCAAATACATCAACTCGCAAAAACACTAATTTCGAAACCACATCTGAACGAAAACTACAGACCCGACTTTTTTAGGAAAATTCACATAGAAGAACCAACCGGTTCACTCGATAAGTCGAGAGTAGAGAGAATATAAAGCAAAAATAAACTCCATGAAGCGGCAAGAGAAACGAAAGAAGAAGAAAAATAAAACCAAAAGAAGAGAGAACCTTAGGAAGAAGAACCTTAGAGCATCATCAATGGGAATCCTTAAAAAATGAATCCTTAAATATATTTAGTAATTTAATTGAGTAAAGTGATGTTAAAAAGTTGAATTAAGTTTATATGGTTTTATGCAAGATCATTGGTGGGTTCTTAACTAATGGATCTTAAGATTAAATAATTTTTTTTTTTAATTAAAAATTTTATAATTTTAAAAACTTAATAATTATTGCAAAAAGAGAGAGAGAGAGAAAGAGAGAGAGAAAAGAGAGAGAGAGAAAGAAGAAAGAAAAATGAAGATTAAAGAAATCTCTTCGTTTTTCTTTTTCGCGAAGAGAGAGAGAGAGAGAAAGAAGAAAGAAAAATGATGCAAAAAAATTATTTATATATTTATCAGCAAAGCCAATCCTAGCTTGCCACGTATGCACCTCTTCCACTCTCATTTTGAGCTTATATAATATACGGTTCTTATGTTATTAATTGTATTTTGATTTAAATTTAGCCTAAGATTAGCCTAAGAATCACCTAACAACCCAGCGTTGATGATGGTCTTAGGAAGAAGAACCTTAGGAAGAAGAAGGACGTCAAAGTCTGTTTTTAATAAGCAAAATCAACTCCCTCAAGCGGCAAGAGAAAGAATCTTTATATAACTGTTTCTTTACTTGCGAGTTGCGAAATATTTCAATTTTATTTCTACCGATCGGTTTAGCTGCCATAACCGATACCAAACCAAACACCCAAAAATATCGGCTCGATTTGGTTCGGTTATTTCGGTTTGGTTTTTTAATCCAAGGCCTACGAGAAAATATGTAAAAAAAAAACTTTTAACTTTATTGTTGATAATTTAAGACAGTGGCTTTGTAATGTTAGAAAACATATATTTAAGAGAATAGTAGATTAGAAAACATACTGAGTTTTGAAGTATATTTGTATTGTCGACTCTAATTACTAAGATCTTATCTCCCAAAACACTAAGTTTTTGAAGTATATTTGTATTGTAAGAACTATTATGAAAGGATCATACAGATATTTTAGTTGCTTAGGCTTTGAATCGATACGTTATTCTAGTTAGCAGTCTAAATTGGTGTTAAGAGGTTTAAAATTAACAAGACCCCTTATATGAATATGAATTCACACATCTCCAAGTTTCTTTGAAAAGCTAACTTAATTTGGTGTATTAGTAGTGTTCAATCATATAAAATACGAGGCACTAAATAAAAGTAATCTATAGTCCTATCTACATCCTCCATAGCCAATCATAGACATTGATATACCCTATAAATTACTGGGTATAAAGACAAACATACAAAATAAGATATTCCCTATAAAGTTTAATCGGTTTAGGATGGTATCATCCAAAGAATATAGATCAAAAAATATTGGACTACCAACCAAAATGCAAGAACTGTGTTCTTGATATGACCAATGCATATTCTTACTAAATACACAAAATGACCCAAAAGAGTTCCAAGTTCTGTCGACTCGGTAAGACTTAGACACTACTACTGCAATAACATAAATAGTTCAATCATTATATATTGTACTTAGCATCAAGCCAACAAAATACAAGTAGTAAAATCTAACAGTAATCATCAGTGAGTGATGCAGAAATCTGAGAATGTCACTTCAGATGTGTTACCAAGAACAAGAATTCAGAACATGACACAAAACAAATCTATTCAAGATTCAAGTAAATCCAAGAGGTACGAGGTACGATATATAGAATCTAAGACAATAATCATTAGCTGACAATGCAAAATTCCAAAATGTGGTTTCACTTGCGTAGAACAATCACCAATGGTTTCAAACATATATGTATAATGCAAACAAATACATTCCAGATTCAATAATGCTATTACCATAATGTGAATTAGTAGGTTATCACATACATTCAAAAGTACTTGTATGCAGAAGATCCCAAGATGAATCTAATTTCATACAATGCTACCCAAACAGAGATAAGTATAACAGACACACAATGTAATGTTCCAAAAGCTAAAAGTAAAATTCTAGAATGCCATTCACATGTTTAAAACAATCACCAAAGGTTTGGAGCAGAACACAAAACAAATTCTTTCAAGATTCAAGAAAACTACAATCATAATCTATAGATATTGCTCTTGTGTCAAAATAAATATCTACACGACACTCTAAGATGCCTCCATTACATAGAGTAAGAATGATAAAAACCAAAGGGTCTTATCATTATAAGACAAGAGACGTTATTGTAAACAATCAAGAAAAGCCATTGCATATTCTAACTAAATACACCAAATGATTCAATAGAGTTACATTGCCTATGTTAGATCACTAAAAGACCAATGGATAGGCACTCATGCAATAACATAAATATTTCAATCATTATCTATTGTGTAAAGAGACCAAACCAAAGAGTAAAAGATTCAATAAGACTATTACCATAACGTGCAGAAGATCCCAAAATACGTAAAGAGAAAGTACACTACAAAATAAAAGATGATAAGTATTTTAAACAAAGACGTAATGTTCCAATAGAAAGATATACACTTCCAAGATTCAAAATACGTATCTGCAGAAGATCCCAAAAGATATAAAGAGAAAGTACACTACCAAAACAAAGATAATAAGTATTTTAAACAAAGTAATGTTTCAATAGCTAAAGTAAAATTCTAGAATGTCATTCACATGTTTAAAACAATCACCAAAGGTTTAGAGCAAAACACCAAACATAAGAGACTCTAAGATGCCTCCATTATATAGAGTAAGACATGATGACACAAAAGCACCAAAACAGAGACAGTAATGTTCCAATACAACAACACATTGTACTGTTCCAGTACCTAAAATTAACATTGTTTTTAATTAATTTATCACAGAGGAGTCTAGAAAAGCATATATATATACCTGATCATAAATTCTGCTACAGTTGTAATATCAACATCTCCTGAAGTACATACCTGTAAAAATCAAAATAGTATATACTTCACATATGCGTCTCTCACTAGTGATTTTCATAATAGTATCAACTAATTACTTCCAGGTTTGAAAATCTCATTAAAACAAAAACAAAAAGGTTTGAAAAATATATACCTGTCAAAGAAGTTTGCTACTTGAACTCAACTTAAAGTCTTAACAGATCCATATACCTGAAATGAAAAAAAAAACAGAATATGTTAGTCTTCATTTAACGTGAATTGTAATATAATTACCTCGTTCGTTTATGTTATTTGGTCTCAAGTCTAATCATGTTGCATATTCTTTGTCAACTATCTTTGCCTTACAACTTTTTAAGTCATATGCTGAATTCACAGTTTGGTTTTGAGACTTCTTTACCCTGCTGGTCGTTTTTAGCATCCAACATATCGCAACTGATCTTCTTTACTTTACTTTGCATGCACTACCAATCCAAAGTCTTTTACCTTTAAGTTTATGATTTTTCTAAGCCCCTCTTTGAGAACTCTTTGGTTCTGTTCCCTCTTTGTCTTAAAGTTCATTCCCTTCCAAAGTCTTTTGACTCCTTTGTCTCGTTTTAAGCCTTCTTTACTCTGCTGGTCGTTTCTACCATCCAACAAATCGCAACTGTTCTTCTTTACTTTAATTTGCATGCACTACCATCCAAAGTCTTTTCCCTTTTGTCTTATGATTCTTCTAAGCCCCTATTTGAGAACTCTTTGGTTATATTCCCTCTTTGTCTTAAAGTTCATTCCCTTCCAAAGTCTTTAAACTCCTTTGTCTCGTTTTTAGCCTTCTTTACTCTGCTGGTCGTTTCTACCATCCAACAAGTCGCAACTGTTCTTCTTTACTTTACTTTGCATGCACTACCCATCCAAAGTCTTTTCCCTTTTGTTTTATGATTCCCCAAAGTCTTTTCCCTTTTGTCTTATGATTCTTCTAATCCCCTCTTTGAGAACCTTTGGTTCTTTTATGTCTTTTGCCTTAAAGCTCATTCTCATTCAAAGTCATTTGACTCTTAATCTTATAACTTTTCCCAACATGCATGCACTACCAAGCCAACAATTATCTTCCAATGTCATATGTCTTTTGTCTTAAGGCTTATTCCCATTATGATTTTGCAAGCCGAGGGTACCAAACTATGAGAATTCTTTGTCCTAAAGCTCTTTCCCATTCAAAGTCATTTGACTCTTTGTCTTATAATTTTTCCCACCATGCATGCACTACCAAGCCAGCAGTTCTCTTCCAATGTCATATGTCTTTTGTCTTAAGGCTTATTCCCAGTATGATTTTGCAAGCCGAGGGTACCAAGCTATGAGAACTTTTTGGTTCTTGTATGTCTTTTGTCTTAAAGCTCTTTTCCATTCAAAGTCATTTGACTCTTTGTCTTATAATTTTTCCCACCATGCATGCACTACCAAGCCACCAATTCCCTTTCAATGTCTTTTGTGTTTTGTCTTAAGGTTCTTTCCCATTATGATTTTCCAAGCCGAGGGTACCAAAATGTTAGAACACTTTAGTTCTTGTACATGCCTTTTTCCTTAACTCATTCCCATTTGATATCATTTGACCCTTTATCTTATAATTTTCCAACCCATGCATGCACTACCAAGCCAACATTTTCCTTCCAATGTCTTTGTCTTTGTCTTACGGCTATTTCCCATTAGGATTTTGCAAGCCGAGGGTACCAAACTGTTAGAACACTTTGGTTCTTGTATGTCTTTTGTCTTAGCTCATTCCCATTCAAAGTCATTTGACTCTTTATCTTATAGTTTTTCCAACATGCATGCACTACCAAGCCAACAGTTTCCTCCCAATGTCATTTGTCTTAATGTCTTAAGGCTCTTTCCCATTATGGTTTTCCAAGCCGAGGGTACCAAAATGTTAGTACTTTATCTTATAATTTTTCCCAACATGCATGCACTACCAAAGCCAACAGTTCCCTTTCAATGTCTTTTGGTTCTTTTCTGTCTTTTTCTCTTTAGACTTATAAATCCGTAGGATCATCCAACTAATCGCAACCCCGTTCCCAATATGCATGCACTACCAAGCCCACAGCTTACAATTTTGCTTGGGACAATGTCCCCAAAATAGAATCTGACAGAACTATTAGTTCCCAATATGCATGCACTATTAGATTAGTGTCTGTCAATGATCTTTTTTGGGTTTTGAAAGAAAACAAAAACAAAAACATCAAAACTTAAAACCTCCAAAACTAAGAATCCGCAGATCAAGTAGCCAAAACCAAAAACGGATCTGGGTTCTTATCAAAGTGAATAATATTTTTGATGTTGGATCAAGAGACGAAAAACAAAAACAATCTTGATTCCAACATCACAATGACACCGAAGTCAATTGCTTAAATCAAACAAAAAAAAAAATTCTGATCAGAAGTGAACTGATCAATTGTACCTAATCGATTTCAATCCTCAAAAACTTCAAAAAAACAAAACACAACAAAAAAAACGAGTTAAGACAGAGACATACCTCGACGAAGCGGAGACACGCTTCAAGGGTTAGACAGAAACAGAACCTTGTTGTGAACTGATCAATTGAACACATTCGATTTCAATCCTCAAAAACCTGAAAACGCACAAAAACAAAAACACAACAAAGCGGGTTAAGACAGAGAGATATTTTAACGGATTCTAATAGTTTCAGGCCGAATCAAACCAACCAAAACAAAACCCCTAGATCTGTACAACACAAGAACGATTAGAAGATTCGAAAACCCTAAAAAAGAAATACACAAAGACAAATCAAATGAAATCACCATAATAGAGAAGAAACCATTCCATTGTACCAATTTCTTGCTGAATCAAACCAAACAGAACAAAACCCCTAGATCTGTACAACAGAAAACGATTTGTAAATCTAAAAACCCTAAATTTAAAAAAAAAAAAACCAAAGAGAGGATTAGAGTAAGAAACCAAACCAAATCACCATGGCAGAGAAGAAACTCATGCGATTGTACTAGTTTCATGCCCAAATCAGAAACCCTAGATCAAAACAAACATATATAAGAACAAATCACACAAAAACTTATATAAATCCAAGAAACAGGTTCGGGATATAGAGGAATTGAAATACATACTAACCTTTAAGATTACTTTAACAATCGTCGAAGCATTCTTCTTCACTCCAAAAACCATAAGAGAGAAAGAAAGAAAAATTGGAAGAAGAAGAGAAAGAAAAAAAAAAGAGGAAAAGCAAAACCGTTGTTTGTTACAAAAGTGTGAAATCATATCTCTTTCTCCGATATATATAATGTAATGTAAATATATCGGAGCGTCTTGACATATCACAAATTTCCGTAACGGCTATTATTAAACATGGATGGACCGTTGATTTGTCATATACTTACTTCAGTCTGACGGTTCTCCATTTTCATGAATTTGTTTTCTATACTTCATTGGCAATATTAACAATCGCAAAAGCAAAAAAAAAAAATAGCGTTTAGCGGTTTAATGGTCAATTTTGATAGATTGGGTTTTCATAGAGATGGCCCAATAACGTCCATTAATTCAAAATTCCAAATTTAAATTACACCCTGTAATATCAATTTTTCCGTTGGCTTTGGTTTTAGAATAAAAACCCAACGGTTTAAATTTAAATGCAACGTTTTTAAGTAAAAAATAACTAAACTACCCAAATCTCTAAACAAAATTGACAAAAATGTATTGGGTCGAAATACCCAAAAATGTATTAGGTTAGAAATTGGACCAAAACTTATTAGACTTAGTTGCAAGTTTGCAGAAAGTTTACCAAAATTTTTCAGTTCCATTCGGGGTACCATACTAACACTAATATTGGGTATTTACCTGATATATATCCATATATAGATTCGTTTGGTTATTTTGCACGATCCGAAAACAAACCAAACCAAAACCCGTTTCTCGGTTCGGTTCGGTTCCCATTCTTTTGCCCAAAGCTACGTTGCTTGATATGGGCATATCTACTTTTGCAAGTAAACTAATTATATGTTCTCATGAGTTCTTTGAATCAACCAAAACAACTTGCTCACAAAAAAAAAAAACAACTTAACAAATAAATAAACACAAATTCTCCCCTTTTTGCTGTTGTTGTTGTTTAAAGTGACATTCATACAAACAACGACCATTATTGATCATACCAAGAGAGAAAGAGAACAAACATAGGAAACAGTCAAATTAAGGGGAACACATAACATTTACACCAAGAACATAAAAAAAATTAAGGGGAATAGAAAACGTGTAGTTTCTAAATGAGAGCAAACCGTGAGGTTTAATTAACCCTTCATGCACCAGGTGCTGCATCTTTCAGCGTACCATGGAAGTACCCACCAGCATAATCTTTGACATGAGCCGCCGTGTCATGGATTCGACTCCGAGCATAATCCACCTGATCCGACCCGATGGGATGCATGCCTTTGAAATATCGATACAACCACGTTACAAAAGCCCCCGTAGCAAAGAGGAACCCGGCTAGGGACAAGAATCCTGTGACAAGGATGAACAAAGGGATCCAAATAGGGCTTGTGATAATGATGACTGGGAGGAGAGCAATTAATCCTAGGACAGAAGCGGTGACGGTGACTCCGGTGAGTAAAAGGAGGATTCCACCGGAGATGAAGAATGCGAGCAATCCGAAGAGCTGACCGGAGTAATTAGGAGACTGTGACTGTAGTAGCTGACGGAGAAGAGATGAGAGGGGGTGGCTGGTGGTGGTGGTGTTACTCCGTGGGACGGTGGTGGTTGAGTTGTAGATGGGTCTTTGTTGAGTGTAGCTGCTAGGGTTTGTTCGATCAGCCATTCTCGGCGAGGAGAGAGGTGTGTGTGAGGTGTAAGAAGAGAAACAGTGAAACAAATGGAGACAGGTTCTGTCTTGATAAGTGAAGGCGCATGCATGCAAACACGTGGAGTGTTTCTGTCTTTTTTTTACTAAATTGTTCTTTTATAAAAACTTTGCTGGTTAGAAGAAACTTCAAATATTTATCTTCTTTCCTAGTTTTAGAGAGAAGCAATATCAAGATTCGGACTGTTTCATTGAAGCCACTCGATTATAATGGCACAATCAAATCTCATGTACGTTCTAATCCGATTTCTTAAGTTTGGTTTGGCGTTTATGATCGAATTAGTTGGAATTTTGACTTTTTCTTAAATCTTTTTATATTTACCAAATTATTTAATATATTTATGTATTAACCAAAGAACCTCTAATCTTTTGATATTAAACAAACTTCCTCACATCTTTATTTATTTACCACATTACTCCATATCTATTGATATTTAACTTTCCCGATTGCCCCAAAGCTTTTGGTATATAACAAAAGTACTCCTAATAACCTTTACATGTTTATTGAAGAGGTTCCAATATTATTGAAGAGGTTTCTATAAAGACCTCCTACCTAATATTTTGATATTTATTGAAGAGGTTCCAATATTATATTTTTATCAGAGTACCCCATATCTAATTTTGAAGAAACATAAAAATGATTATTTTTGGTGCGCCACTGAGATTAGATTGGGAATGCGTAAACTACCCTTGTTTAATTATTTTGTTTCCGTTATAATTATAACGCTATTAACAAATAAGGAAACTTTTTCTCTCACGGAATAAACCCTAATTACTCTTCTTTCTTATAAAAAAACCACATACGGCCATGTAAATATTTTGAATGACTTTGGGTAGCATTTTTTATATATTTAATATTAGTGTAAATATTCTGGAAAAATTGCATACTTAGTATTTTTCTTTTAAAATTCGTTAAACAAAGAAAATATAGCCCAAATGGGCAAAAACATAGGCTGATGATAAAAACCAAAAACCAACATCTAAAAGTGTCTCAAACACGCACTTTTTATTATGAAGCTACACTGGTTGCGCACTCATTCTTTATTCCACACAAAACAAATAAAAAGGGAAACCAAGAAAACTGTGATGAATTTGGAGATCATTTTTTGGGTTGGAACATGGTTTTAATATATTTGACAGTTTTTGGAGATGTCTGAAAGGCTTGAGACAAGATGTTGTCAGGGACAGGAGGTGTAGAACCGAACAAAGTAGCACCAAGAGACTGAGTTCCTGGAAGCTGACTGTTGAAAGCAGCGATCACAGAAGCTGAAGTACGTCCACTGTTCTTTTGGAAATGGACGAGTCCTTTAGGGAAAGCAAAGACATCTCCTTTCTTGAGAGACTGAGAGATGAGCCTATTGGTCGTTGTGAGAAACCCAACGTCAAGAGTTCCTTTAAGAACGAAGACAATTTCGGTGGCACGTGGGTGCATGTGAGGTGGGTTTAAGCCTCCTGGTGCGTAGTCTATACGTGAGAGAGAGACACCGAGTGTGTTGAGTCCAGGGATTGTCATTACGTTAGCTCCTCTGACTAAGGAACCAAATGTGTTGTTTGTGAGACCTGCCACTGCTAAGCCTTGTGAGAAGAAATCGAGTGATGTGACTAAAGCTGCGTCTTTGCAAGGGAAGCCATTGAGTTTGACTTCGGATGAGATGTTGGCGACGCAAAGGTCTTGGAGCATGTCGGGATCTGCGGAGGCTGAGATAAAGAAGAAGAGACCGATGAGGAAGAGGAGAGATGGAGTACTTGGTGAAGCCATTGATTTGATTTTAATTTGTTGATGATTTGGAAACTGTATAGTTGTTATGCTTATATAAGGGTGGGTTTTAAAGAAGAGATTGGACTTATAAAAGCAAGGAACATAAACAAATACTCACTCTCTCAAATGTCAACGAAAACTAAGTAGATGGATAGGTCATATGGAGGATACCTACACTATATACTATTCACAAGTCCATAGTATATAAAAGTAACGTGTAGCTCTCTATTGGTCTATTAAATATTTAATCTTTTAAAATATTTATTTTTAATTAAACCAAAAATGTTACACATGTATTCATATAGATTAATCCACACTTTACTACTAGTAGTAACTTAAAATTTAATAAATTTTGAATTGACTATTGTTTCTCCAGTTTTAATAACATCCTCCTCCACCATATCTCATATTTCAAAAAAAAAAAAATTGGTTTTTTTTTAATATTTTTGCATGGGGTAAAAACTAAATTAAGATATCATTGTACAAATTTGATTAAATATTTTGTTTAAAATTTTGTTTTCAATTTTTTTTGTCTTCTTTGTTTTTATGTACTTCTTCATTTCTTCATTGTTTTCTTATTTATATGTATTTGGGGGAATTTAACAAATACCATTTTTCCAATACCACTTTTTAAAAATACCCCTCTTTCTAATTTTATCAAAAGTTCACTATAAAATTTGAAATTTATCAAAAAATATGTGTAAACTTATATTTATAGACACAACTTATCTTTATATGTGTGTAAATTTACATAATTGTTTCATAAATACCGTATAAATACCTTTTAAAAACCTTTTAAAAACCTTTTAAAAATCATTTAAAAACCTTATAAAATTTTTGTAAACCTTTTAAAAACCTTATAAATACCGCTTAGAACCTTTTAAAACCTTATAAATACTTGGATTTAGTCTCCCACTAGTAATGATGATCTTGATGTACCTTATCAACCATATAAAAGTTTATAATTTTTCATATTTGAAAAGGGGTACACCAAAAGGGGCATTTCTCAAAAAAAATCATAATATTTTATGGCTATAAAAAAATTATTTTATCGATGAGATTCAAAAATATCGATTTCTGACTATCGCACAATTATTTAACATATTCATGTACATTTATTTTATTTTCAAAAGTATGTAATTTTTTAGCAAAAGAAATTTTTGTTATATAATTATCATATCAAATTTTCTTAACTCTTTCTTACTTCCAAAAAGTTGTAATGCATTTTCTTTAAGAATAATGATCATTATTTTAGTTTCTGATTCAACAATTCATAATATAAAGATCATTATAATAATTTTTATTAACTTTGGATTTTATACTTGTTTTTCTAAAAAAAATTGATATTCAATTTTATATCTATTAACTAGACTAAGAGGATGAAATTATTATAATTAAACCTAGAGATATGACTTACATTAAGAGGAGAAACCTACCCTAAGTTATTTTTTCCTAGAGAGACCAAACATAAAATCTATTTGTTATAAGCCGTTCAGATATGTTGTCATGTACATATAATAGATAAATGTCGTTGTTCATCTTCTTTATGAATAGTGATTGTACTATCTTTACAATTATGTTTCGAAAACGTACTAAAACGCAAATTTTCCCATTAGTTTACTTGCAAAAGTAGATATGCCCATGTCAAGCAATGTAGCTTTGGGCAAAAGAACATGAACCGAACCGAGAAACGGGTTTTGGTTTGGTTTTGAATCCCGCAAAATAACCAAACGAATCTATCCATGGATATATATCAGGTAAATACCAAATATTAATGGTAGTATGGTACCCCGAATGGAACTGAAAATTTAACTTTTTGCAAACTTACAACTAAAAGTCTAATAAGTTTTGGTCCAATTTCTAACCTAATACATTTTAGATTATTACGACCCAATACATTTTTGTCAATTTTGTTTGGAGATTTGGGTAGTTTAGTGATTTTTTAGTTAAGAACGTTGCATTTAAATTTAAACCATTTGATTTTTATTCTAAGACCGAAGCCAACGGAAAAATGATATTACAAGGTGTAATTTAAATTTTGAATTTTGAATTAATGGACGTTATTGGGCCATCTCTATGAAACCCAATCTATCAAAATTGACAATTAAACCGCTAAACGCTATTTTTTTTTTTTGCTTTTGCGATTGTTAATATTGCCAATGAAGTATAGAAAACAAATTCATGAAAATGGAGAACCGTCAGATTGAAGTAAGTATATGACAAATCAACGGTCCATCCATGTTTAATAATAGCCGTTACGGATATTTGCTATATGTCAAGATGCTCCGAAATATTTACATTCACTACATATATATCGGAGAAAGAGATATGATTTCACACTTTTGTAACAAACAATAGTTTTGCTTCTTTTTTTTTCCTTTTCTTGCTTTTTTTTTTCCTTTTCTTCTTCTTCCAATTCTTTTTTCTCTCTTCTGGATTTTGGAGTGAAGAAGAATGCTTCGACGATTGTTAAGTAATCTTAAAGGTTAGTATGTATTTTAGTTCCTCTATATCCCGAACCTGTTTCTTGGATTTATATAAGTTTTTGTGTGATTTGTTCTTATATATGTTTGTTTTGATCTAGGGTTTCTGATTTGGGCATGAAACTAGTACAATCGCATGAGTTTCTTCTCTGCCATGGTGATTTGGTTTGGTTTCTTACTCTAATCCTCTCTTTGGTTTTTTTTTTTTTAAATTTAGGGTTTTTAGATTTACAAATCGTTTTCTGTTGTACAGATCTAGGGGTTTTGTTCTGTTTGGTTTGATTCAGCAAGAAATTGGTACAATGGAATGGTTTCTTCTCTATTATGGTGATTTCATTTGATTTGTCTTTGTGTATTTCTTTTTTAGGGTTTTCGAATCTTCTAATCGTTCTTGTGTTGTACAGATCTAGGGGTTTTGTTTTGGTTGGTTTGATTCGGCCTGAAACTATTAGAATCCGTTAAAATATCTCTCTGTCTTAACCCGCTTTGTTGTGTTTTTGTTTTTGTGCGTTTTCAGGTTTTTGAGGATTGAAATCGAATGTGTTCAATTGATCAGTTCACAACAAGGTTCTGTTTCTGTCTAACCCTTGAAGCGTGTCTCCGCTTCGTCGAGGTATGTCTCTGTCTTAACTCGTTTTTTTTGTTGTGTTTTGTTTTTTTGAAGTTTTTGAGGATTGAAATCGATTAGGTACAATTGATCAGTTCACTTTGGTGTCATTGTGATGTTGGAATCAAGATTGTTTTTGTTTTTGTTTTTCGTTTCTTGATCCAACATCAAAATATTATTCACTTTGATAAGAACCCAGATCTTTTTTTGGTTTTGGCTTATTGATCTGCGGATTCTTAGTTTTGGAGGTTTTAAGTTTTTATGTTTTTGTTTTTGTTTTTATTTTCTTTCAAAACACAAAAAAGATCATTGGCAGACTCTAATCTAATAGTGTTCTGTCAGATTCTATTTTGGGGACATTGTCCCAAGGAAAATTGTAAGCTGTGGGCTTGGTAGTGCATGCATATTGGGAATGGGGTTGCGATTTGTTGGATGATCCTACGGATTTATAAGTCTAAAGAGAAAAAGACAGAAAAGAACCAAAAGACATTGAAAGGGAACTGTTGGCTTGGTAGTGCATGCTTGTTGGGAAAAATTATAAGACAAAAGAGTCGCATGACTTTGAATGGGAATGCGCTCTAAGACAAAAGAGATACAAGAACCAAAGAGTTCTCATAGCTTGGTACCCTTGGCTTGCAAAATCATAATGGTAATGAGCCTTAAGACAAATGACAAAAGACATTGAAAGGAAACTATTGGCTTGGTAGTGCATGCATGTTGGGGGAAATTATAAGACAAAAGAGTCAAATGACTTTTAATGGGAATGAGCTCTAAGACAAAAGAGATACAAGAACCAAATAGTTCTCATAGTTTGGTACCCTCGGCTTGCAAAATAATAATGGGAATAAACCTTAAGACAAAAGACAAAAGACATTGGAAAGGAACTGTTGGATTGGTAGTGCATCCATAATGGGAATTGGAAATGAGGTTGCGATTAGTTGGATGATCCTACGGATTTATAAGTCTTAAAATAAAAGACATAAAAGAACTAAAAGACATTGGAAGGGAACTATTGGCTTGGTAGTGCATGCATGTTGGGAAAAATTATAAGATAAAGTACTAACATTTTGGTACCCTCGGCTTGGAAAACCATAATGGAAAGAGCCTTAAGACATTAAGACAAATGAAATTGGGAGGAAACTGTTGGCTTGGTAGTGCATGCATGTTGGAAAAACTATAAGATAAAGAGTCAAATGACTTTGAATGGGAATGAGCTAAGACAAAAGACATACAAGAAGCAAAGTGTTCTAACAGTTTGGTACCCTCGGCTTGCAAAATCCTAACGGGAAATAGCCTTAAGACAAAACACAAAAGACATTGGAAGGGAATTGTTGGCTTGGTAGTGCATGCATGGGTTGGAAAATTATAAGATAAAGGGTCAAATGATATCAAATGGGAATGAGATAAGGAAAAAGGCATGTACAAGAACTAAAGTGTTCTAACATTTTGGTACCCTCGGCTTGGAAAATCATAATGGGAAAGAACCTTAAGACAAAACACAAAAGACATTGGAAGGGAATTGTTGGCTTGGTAGTGCATGCATGGTGGGAAAAATTATAAGACAAAGAGTCAAGTGACTTTGGATGGGAAAGAGCTTTATGACAAAAGACATACAAGAGCCAAAGAGTTCTCATAGCTTGGTACCCTCGGCTTGCAAAATCATAATGGGAATAAGCCTTAAGACAAAAAACATATGACATTGGAAGAGAACTGCTGGCTTGGTAGTGCATGCATGTTGGGAAAAGTTATAAGATTAAGAGTCAAACGACTTTGAATGAGAATGAGCCGTAAGAAAAAAGACATAAAAGAACCAAAGGTTCTCAAAGAGGGGTTTAGAAGAATCATAAGACAAAAGATAAAAGACTTTGGATAGGTAGTGCATGCAAAGTAGAGTAAATAAAAAAAGTTATAATTAGTTGGATGGTAAAAACGACCAGCAGAGTAAGAAGGCTCAAAACCAGACAAACGAGTCAAAAGACTTTGGAAGGGAATGAACTTTAAGAAAAAGAGGGAATAGAACCAAAGAGTTTTCAAAGAGGGGATTAGAAGAATCATAAGACAAAAGGGAAAAGACTTTGGGGAATCATAAGACAAAAGGGAAAAGACTTTCGATGGGTAGTGCATGCAAAGTAAAGTAAAGAAGAACAGTTGCGATTTGTTGGATGGTAAAAACGACCAGCAGAGTAAGAAG